ATTGAGAAGGTTTCTGGAGCCTCGGGTAGAGATGGAACTTTAAATGTCGAGCCATCTGTAGGTATAAAGGGAACTTCTAGCACAGATCTGTTGATAAGGGTATTTGATTGGAAAGAAGGAGAAGCCGCAGCACCTGTATGCTTAGAAGCTTGTCCAAAGGATCATGCTTTGGACACTATTGGTGCAGTAAGTACATCTATGGTCAAGGAAACCGAGATTTCTTGCAAAAGATCAGGTGAAACTCTTTGGTCTGATCGGATAATTGGGAGAGTCACAGTTTTGGCTGGGAATCCAAACTTTTGGGCTGTTGGGTGTGAAGATGGAAGCCTCCAGGTACGCATAATACTTTTATCGCATTGATTTATAGTCCCTGCGTTTCAGTTTCTTATTTGACCATGAAACTCCCGTCGTTCATAATAAGACCATGACTCATGATTCTTTCTGCATTTGGAATCATTGATATCATTTCTTGTTAAATGACCTTCCTTTATTGTTTGGACTTAAAAGCATCAGCCACTCTTGGTTTTGGTACTCAGAATATCTTCTTCCATCTGAATCACTAACTTTCTGTAGTACGTTAAACTATTGGAAAGGGAATTTTGGAACAACTTATGTAAGCATGAATGCGATGTAGTTCTCTGGATAATGTGTGATAACATATGTATTTCAATTTTTGTCTGAAGGTTTACACCAAGTGTGGAAGGCGTGCTATGCCAACTATGATGATGGGATCTGCTGCAACATTTATAGATTGCGATGATAGCTGGAAGTTGCTGCTTGTCACAAGAAAAGGATCTTTATACGTGTGGGATCTGTTTAATAGGAAATGCATCCTCCAGGACTCTTTGTCATCTTTGATCTCTTCCAATGTCAATTTATCTTCTACAGTAGAAGGTAATCTCTGAGACTAATACATTGCTGGCTTCTCATCCTCTAAAACTTGTCTCTTGAAGCACCATATTAATATTTTGAAACGGATGGCAATCCAGTCGTGTGTGACTTGGTCGTTGAGTCACACACTTCGTTTTGGCTAGAGTTGTTTTGTCTCATAGTAATATGAATATGGCTCTGATATTTGGTTTGGACTGTCGTGATTACCTAGTGGAGACTGTAAAACGAATTTAACCTTGGATGATGCAACAAGCTCCGCTGATACACTATTACGTTTTGCAGGTACAATAAAAGTGATCTCTGTGAAGTTATCCAAATCTGGTTCTCCACTTGTTGTTCTAGCCACACGTCATGCATTCCTCTTCGACACAAGTCTAATGTGCTGGCTGAGAGTGGCTGATGACTGCTTCCCGGCCTCAAATTTCAGTAGCTCATGGAATTTGGGTTCAGCTCCATGCGGCGAGCTTGCTGGTTTGCAGGTTGATGTGAGAAAGTACATGGCCAGAAAGCCAGGATGGAACAGGTTGGTTTTGTCCTCCTTTCCTCCTCAGACTGATCACATATTTCTTGTCCTTAAAAAAGCTCCTTTCATGTTTACAGGATAACTGATGATGGAATGCAAACTCGTGCACATTTGGAATCTCAGCTTGCATCGTCTCTTGCGCTTGAGTCTCCTAACGAATACCGCCAGTGCCTCCTCGCCTATGTGAGATTTCTAGCAAGGTCTGTACCCTTTTCTCACACAAACTCTTTTTCAGTTCGAACTTGTATACATTTTAGTGTTAATATGGTGAAGCTTTAGTCTTGTCTGTGAGACTTATCTATGCTAATGGGAGCTTTGGACGTTTATTATCTATTTTATACCGGGGCTAGAAATTATTCTCAGTTTCTGACTCTTTTTTTCATTCTTTCAATTAATAATGAAGCCTTTGTTTTTTTTTTTTTTTTTTTTTTTTGGTATGTGTCATTGTCTGCAGAGAGGCAGACGAGTCCAGGCTAAGAGAAGTGTGTGAGAGCTTTCTTGGACCTCCGACTGGTATGGCTGAAGCAGCATCCACAGACACAAACTTGTCTTGGGATCCTTATGTTCTGGTAAGTAACTGCCTTCTCATTTGATCAAAGCCTAACCTTTTCCAAATCAAAAACTCCATTAACTTTCTTTTTATTTTCCAGGGGGTGAAGAAGCATAAACTTTTGAGAAATGATATTCTTCCAGCAATGGCGTCAAACAGGAAGGTGCAGCGTCTACTCAGTGAGTTTATGGATCTATTATCTGAATATGAAAACACAGAACCAGCAGATCCTGGCCCCAAAGGCTCGGCACCTACCATAGACTGTGGTGGAGTCCCATCTTCACTGGATCAAATGGACTCTGATCCTGTTGCCGTGACAGCTATTACTCCTTTGACGATAGAGAATGAAAAACCAGTTTCTCTGGGTAATTCAGCGGCTTTGGAGACGAGTATTACGTGTGAAAAACCGGGTTCTGAAGACCGAGAAAGACAAGAGCAGAACTCAAGAGACTAGGGCTCTTGAGCTTGTCTCAGTGTCTCTTGTATATCAAGCTCAGAGAGCTGTCTAAAGCTACTCATCTAGGTGCTGTTAAAGAATTGGTGTAACAGAGAAAATGATGAGATGTTGTAACAAAGGGATGTTGAGAGTCTCTTCTCAGGTTAGTTATAGAGTGACCTTATGAGTGAGAGAGATTAAAGCTATGAAGTGAGATGGCATCTGTTTTTGTTTCTTTTTGTACTTTTAGAATATCAATTTTTTTTTGTATCCCTAAATGTTTTCTCTTTTAATGTCTCCCCATCCTAAGATACTCTTTGCAGGTCTCTAAAATGACTTCTTTCCGTCAAAATATAAAACTGTTAGCTTCTAAATGAAGATTGAGAGAGGACCATGCGAGCAAAATTATATGTTTTCGTGCTATCTAACTCAATGTCCCAATAATTTAAAAAAAAAAAAAAACAAAAAAAGAAGAAGATACAAATATACAATATTACTTCAGTGCCGGTCGTATATTCGTAATACTTCATCCTTCTATTTACTAGTCAATGCCATTTAAATGAAGTTACATTACGACTCTTTAATGTATAGGACAAGTGATGGACTGATGGTCTAGCTGTTGGATACGGTACTACGGACAAAGTCACATGCTTTCTTGCTGATCTTAACGCTAATCCGGAGCTGGCACTTACTTTCATTTTCATATATACTTGTGTTTCGGTTCAATGATTCTTTATATATATAATCTCATAGTCAATAGTGTCCACGTTGAAAAATAAACAAAAGTCATAGTGTCCACATAGGCCTAGAATGTCGTTAAGCCGCATAAGTATATCATTAAGTCGTCTTCACTGCTTGATATGTTTGACGTTTTTTTTTGTTTTTTGTTTTTGACGTATTTGATGGTTATCAATGCGATGTCTAGCATCAATGGCCGCCGAGTCCGGTAGACGAAGATAAATGATCTTACCATGTGGGTTCTTCAATGAGAAATCCATTGAAAAATGAGAAAAATGCCGGAAGTAGCAACAAAACCATGGATCAACAAAGAGGAGAGGTGGTGCGGGTCAGGAGAATAGAGGTTTTGAGTTCTATACTTCTATGCCTAGTTTTCATATTACGAATTTTAAAAACATTACATTGCGTAATTACTTTCTAACAGACAAAGAAAAGTTTTTTGATTCAATATCTGATATGTGTGTGAGAAACCGGGCTCTAAATGAGAATGATTTATCTCACATGACTGATGACCAGGTAATTCAAATTCACTAAAACAAATGGAACAATATCTGATATGGTAAACTGTTACAATCCATGCAGTCCTCTTTTACCAATTAATTAGTAAGAAAAAATTATAAAAAAAGGATGACTTGCAAATTTCAAACTGCTGCCGATTATATTATTATATTGTTTCGAAAACTGAGGTGTGAAACAATTCTACAAGTTCAGATATATTTCTTCGTAATGTATGGGGTTAGGTATTCTCTGTCGTTTTTCCAAAAGGTTTTGACGTTTCCTAAACGTTTAAACTTGTTATGTCATTGTTGCATGATTTGTGACCAAACAAACCAAAGACGGAGCATGATTTGTGACCAAACAAACCAAAGACGGAGATAGATAAACCAAGCAAGCAAACTTTTCTAGAAAGTTGTAACATGTAACAGTGGATCTAACAAATTTTCCTAATCTTATCTTTACAAATTATAACTTGACTTAAATATATTTATACAAAGTCTGACTGTATATTACTATAGGAAATATCACAGTACTCATGCAGATTCCTATGTCCATTTTAATTCACACCCACAAAACCTTCCAATTCAACACACACCTACAATTTAGTTACAACAACAACAAAAAATACAGCCAATCAAAGTCTAAGAAACATGGACTTTAAAGACCATAATTTTCGAATGGTCCATAATTTAAAGGGTATAAATGCTTTATTGGTTACTGGGTGTGGAACATACTATCCTTACCCTCATCTGAAAGATTTGATTGCAATATGTACCTAGAGTTTCTATTTTTCTCTAAGAGAAAATACTCAACTACTCTTCAATTACTCGCTCACTTCTATTTTGGTGGTCCACAATCTACGCATTTTTTATTTGTTTTGTTGTTTTAACGCAACCGTAGAGTTTGCATGGATTTCTGTGGCCCACGTTCAAATTTATTTCATTGTTAAATAAATATTTAATTTTTACAAATACCATTGAAAATTATATAAAACATTCATCAAATAGTTGAGTTACAAATACAACCTAAGATTATATTGGTTTTTTAAGGCCTATTTAAGACAATATTATTTGGGAGGGATTATTCCTAAAGTTAATATATTGCGTCCGACCGATTCCACGTATACTATGACCTAGATTTATAATATATATATTAACAATAAATTTAATATAGGTTTTTTTAAGTGAACGTAGGTGGATCGACAAATAGTAGATATGATGGGTCAGCTATATGGGTCAATATATACGTGTCTGTCTATATATTCGTACCTCGACTTCAAATGTCTTCTGACAAAGAAAAACAACAAGTTATATTATTATTGTGTTCTTTCTAATTCATTAAATAGATCTTATATTGTGTCTCCAATGGAATCCAATGGCCTTCAATTTCTCCAGAACAAGACGATTCTCGTCACCGGGGTTCCCGGTTTCCTCGCCAAAGGTGCCCTCTTTTCGTAATATGATATGATTGTTGTGTTATGCACCACAAAGAACTTTTGGGTTAAACGGAAAAATATAGTTTTGTGATTCAATCAAAATTTTCTTGTCACGGATTTTTAATTTCATGTGCTCCCCATGCAAATGTGAAATGTATACCACCTTTTAATGAATAATACTTAATAGTTGACATTGTATTATTCATATCACTCATTTGTTGTTCAATCTCTTTTTTGTCCATATATACATCACAATACGTCCATATAGTTAGTTATTTATTTGATCATTTCGGATCAACGTAATTCTAGTTTACCTACTACTAGATGTTGTGATGATGAACCACTTCCCACCTTTGGGAGATCTCCTCACCAACAAAAATTGACTAAAGTAATTAGTTTTCCAATATAATTAATAAAGTTTAGTTAATTGTTGAAAATTTGTAGTGTTTGTGGAGAAAATATTGAGGGTTCAACCAAACGTGAAGAAGCTTTACCTTCTCTTGAGAGCAGCAGACAATGAATCAGCCATGCAACGGTTTCGCAGTGAGGTATAAATAAAAACCATTTCATTAGATATAATTAAATAAGTATGAAGAATTATACAAGCTTTATAACGAAGTATTATGTAAATATTTTTTTGTTCTGTTTAAGAATCTGACCTGACTTACTTGAAATGATAAAAACAGGTTTTGGAGAAAGATCTTTTTAGAGTGTTAAGGAACGATTTAGGTGATGAAAACCTGAAAGCTTTAGTGTCAGAAAAAGTCGTCCCTGTTCCTGGTGATATTTCAGTTGATAATCTTGGACTGAAGGACCCTATTCTCTTACAGCATATGTGGAATGAGATCGATATCGTTGTCAATGTTGCTGCCACGACGAACTTCGATGAAAGGTGTGAAACGAAAAATTAGCCGATATATTACTGAAATTTTTTGGTTTCAAATATTCTACATTTATCTAATGTTGCTCTCGGTATTCCCAACAAAAGAAAATTAACCGTGAAGAAATATTGAAATCTGATAGTATATATTTTTTTGTATAAAAAAAAGATATGATGTTGGTCTTAGCATCAATACATTTGGACCGCTCAATGTCCTTAACTTTGCCAAAAGGTGTGTTAAAGGACAGTTACTTCTCCATATCTCAACCGGTGAGTTTAATAGTCTTATTAATTTCAGAAAAAAATGTATAAATTATATGATTCATTCCATATAGGCTATAGAAACTTCAAACTTGTATCGTTTGTAGCCTATGTGTGCGGTGAGCAATCCGGAGTGTTACAAGAGAAAACATTCAACATGGGAGAGACATTGAACGGACATGGTAAATTAGTTATCGATACCGAATTGGAGCTAGTGAAACAAAAACTCAAAGAATTACAGAAACAAGATTGTTCGGCAGAAGGGATCGTGAAGTCGATGAAAGACCTTGGTATGTCGAGGTCAGTGCGCTAAACACAGACTATAACTTCCTCCTATATAATTGACAAAATTTATTGATCTTGAATCAAAATGATTTTAATTATTAGGGCAAAGCTCCATGGATGGCCAAACACATATGTGTTTACCAAGTCAATGGGAGAGATGCTTCTTGGTTATCATAGAGAAAAACTTCCTATTGTTATCATCCGTCCGACAATGATCACCAGCACTTTTTCAGAACCATTTCCCGGTTGGATCGAAGGGTTAAGGTAAATCTCTGTACCGGTTTTAGATTAATCATAGAAACAATTTGAGACTTTTGATTTGTCAAAATTCATGACACCCCTTTTTTTTTCTATGTGAAGAACCATAGATAGTGTGATTGTTGCATATGGCAAAGGAAGGCTTAAATGTTTTCTTGCGGATCCAAATTCAGTCCTTGATCTTGTAAGTTCACCTTAATTAATTTTTTGATTGTCTTAAGCCTCAAGAACAAGTCAAAAGCAAATTTTACATTATGAACAGATAAAATCTTGGGAAATTCTCCAAAATGGACTAATCTGGATTTCTTGTTCCAAAATTAGAGTCAACCGTGTGTTTTCCGAATAATAAACCGAAATGTAACATAAACTGATTCAAAACTTCTTCTTAATAAAAACAAAATCTAAACCCTAATTTGGGAAAAATGAACCTCAAACATAATATTTGTTTTTTTATGTTTAATTTGTTTAGGGTGAAAAAATGTTTTACCAAATAATTGGTCCATTTTTGGAAGAAAAAAAAACTAGGTAAACTTTTCGAATTATTTTTTCCTTTCCATTTTAGGGTATTTCTTTTAAATATTTTTTTTTTGTTTTTCATTAAATATGTTGGAAAGTGTTTGTGCAAACGCTAAATGCAAACATAAAAATAATTCATCGGACTTATGTATTGAAAATTAACAAAGAATATATTAAGAAAAGTTGTAACATGTATCTCACCATAAATACATTTCGTTGTGGCGCACTGAAATCGACATTTTCACAGATACCTGTGGATATGGTCGCAAATGCATTGATCACGGCTGCGGCAACACACGCGGGGAAGTCAGGCTCTCAGACCGTTTACCATGTTGGGTCGTCTTGTAAAAACCCGATCACATTCGACCAGATTCATGATCTTGCGGCTCGCTACTTCGCCAAAAGCCCTCTTGTTGGACGCGACGGCTCACACATCATAGTCTCTAAAGGAACTATTTTGTCCACCATGGCTCAGTTCAGCTTCTACATGACCCTTCGTTACAGGCTACCTCTGCAGGTACGCATCATTTTTGTTTTTAATTAATCCGAGTTTACTAATTTAGACCATTTTAGTTTCGAAATACGTTTTAGATCTCTAAAATTTACATGTATATTAATGCAACACAACTACAATTGATTCCCAAAAAAGATTATGTTGAGATCTTAGTATCATGTGATGTTGAGAAAAGTCCTTTTATTTTATTTTACCAAATACTGAGAGCAATGAAAAAAAGAGTGATCATTAAATTGTTTATAACAATTTTGTGTGTGTTTTTCTTCTCTGTTATCAGATGCTGCGAGTGATACATATAATTTATCCATGGCGGAATGGAAATAAATATAAGGACCTTGACCGCAAAATTAAGCTGGCGATGCGGTTGGTCGAGCTCTATAGACCTTATGTCTTGTTTAAGGGGATGTATGTTTTCTAATATAACCACAAATGACTTTTACTATCTGTTCTAATATGTATTCTTAATATTATTTCATTTATTTATTTTGACGCCATTGTTTTTTTTTTTTCTTCAGATTTGACGATACGAATACTGAGAGGTTGTGGTTGAACACGGAGGTCAATAAAGAAATATCTGGTCTGTTCGAATTTGATCCCAAGTCTATTGATTGGGATGATTACATGACGAACATTCATATCCCTGGCCTCATCACCTATGTACTAAAAAAATAAAACTTTTAGAAAGTTGAAATTTGTATTATATACATTTCTGTTTTAGCTCACCTTTTATATCGTACTTTTTGGCACACAAAAAAAACAAAGAAAAGTATAAACATTAGTAAGGTTTTTTTTTTGATTAAAAAGAATCATACTAAGGTCGTGTATTGGGTATTTGGGTGGTGGTGGATGACCAAAACAACAAGGTGTAAAATACGTTTGAATCTCCAGTGTATCGAGTTATGCTCTTAATTTATAACTCGTTTTTTCGAAATTAATTTGCCATTTCTTATAATTTTCACATGTAACCGATGGTTTCAAAGGTGATACATAAGATCCAAGGAGGATGGAGGGATAAGCTGCATGGCATTTTTTCCACGTGTGGTTTAGTTCTTAGATTATCAAAACAATCAGAAACTGCATATTAATTGGCAGTGCATTCTACTTATTTTAGGCCTCTATTTCATCATCTTTTTTTACCAATTAACTTTTACTATAGAATAAATTAAACATAAAATTATATAAACAGTTATTGGCTTCAAAATTTTCTATAGTTTTCCGATAGAACTGTTAGAGTACTTTAAATGATCGTTTCTCAATGAGGTTTTGCAATTAAAAAGAAAAACAATATACATATATATATTGTGGGTTACTCAAATCAAATTAGTAACGATTTGAGCATAAACAGTTTTACATGTATTCACAAGTCATTAAATATTTGTGTGGTCAGAAAATCATTAAATACGTCACAAATCATTGAATATTTGTGGTCACAAATCATTACGGCCAAAAAAATCGGTTAGTTAGTAAATTTTTTTTTTTTTTTTTTTTTTTTTAAATACCATTCTTTTATTTCTTTCCCGTCCCTCTGAAAGAAGCGACGTATGAAGCTACAAAGGGGAACTTAACCAAAGGAAAGAAAGAGGTGTTTCAACCCCATGAAACCAAGACTACAAAGAAATAGCTAAAAAGACAAAGAAATAGTTAGTAAATTTTCATTTTTCTGTGAGAACAAATTTAAGACAGTACGAGAATCTCGCACCCGCCACCTCTAAGAAGAATGACAACTCAACAAATAGAAACCATGACTCCAAATCCAACCAAAAGTAAATTAAGTTTAGTTTGGTTTAATTCAACAAAGTCCGTTAACTCCGAACAAGAAACAAACCAAACACATGTGTCGTCTTTGTATGTTCAGCGTTAACGTGGGACCCACCCTCGTCCGACAGCCCACGGCCGATTCTAAAGAATTAGTTTCTTACACAATTTTTAGCCAAAACATCGGCTGGCTTTAGCTAAAACATCAAGTAAACAAAGTAAAGAAATCGAATTAAGAAAAGAACTTAGCAAACAGATTCGTGAAAGCTATTTGGTAGCTCAATATAATATTTGATTGCGAAGCAGAGTCAGAGCAAACCTTTATAGACCAAAATCTAAAGCTGCTTTTAGGGCTAATCATTTAGGTATAAGGTCTAAGGTGATATAAACGGTAATTCGCTGACTCCTAGATAAATGCTTGTCTGACCGGTTTCACTCGACCGGCCACACTCATCGAACGATTGGACCCATTCAACCAAATGTCATTTCACAAATATTGGAAAGTATTCCAGAATTAATGGAGATTTGTCCAAATCAGTTAAGGATTTGACCTAAGCCGCCCGAGACCATATATTAACATGCAAATTGTTGAGGTGAAGAGGTGAGTTGGAAAATCGAAGAGACCAACACTGCTATTTTAGATAAGATAGTAGTTGAAAATGCTATATTATAGTAGTATTCAATTTATTTTATTTTTATTTTTTAGATTGCATCAGAAAATGCATTGGAAGAGTTTCAAAACTTCTACCAACAAAATATCTTCATACACTAATGTCATATTTCCATAACGTTAACGAACATGGGAAAACAATTGTTTTTCTTATTTCTCATAACATAGTAAAACATGGGTTATTTGAGGGTATTATTGACTTTCTTACGCCATATTATGTTGTGATAAATACTCTTGCGCTCTCCACAAAGATATCTTTATCACAAACAATGGAATTCAATTGTGTTCAGTATCTTCAAAACAAGACGATTCTTGTCACCGGCGCTACCGGTTTCCTTGCCAAGGGTAGGTTCGTTAATTTTTTGTCTGATTTTGGTTAAATCCTCATCACTTTTGGAAACAATTTCACTTTAAAAGATTGACACATAAATTTTCGTCTCTGTTGGTTAATTTCGAAGTCTCATTCTTTGAGAAACATTTTTTTTTAAAGATAATATATATAACTTTTTCATCAAGTAGGCACTCTAAAATATGATAGTAGCTCACTATTTTATACCTAATCGGATTGTTATTAATTTAATATTCTTAGTTTTCGTGGAGAAAATTCTGAGAGTACAACCAAATGTGAAGAGGATGTATCTTCTGGTGAGAGCATCCGACAATCAAGCCGCGACGAAACGCTTACGTGCAGAGGTTATATTTCAACAAAACATAATTCATAACCAAAATGGTCTTCAATTGGATATAAATATTGAAATGGAACTGATGAAGCAAAGATTGAAAGAACTCCACGAACAAGAATTTTCAGAAGTGGACATTGATCTCTCCATGAAAGAACTTGGAATGGAAAGGTGAGTGTTGTTCTTCTTCTTTTTTGTCAAAAAGGTGAGTGTTGTTCATGATTGAATCAAATGCTTAGATTTTTATTATCAATGATTCAGTTTGGAATACACAAAAATAAATTCGGTATACGTTGATGATATATTAGGGCAAAGCTTCATGGATGGCCAAACACATATGTTTTCACCAAATCAATGGGAGAGATGCTTCTTGGTAACAATAAAGAGAATCTTCCTCTTGTCATCAGTCGTCCCACGATGATCACCAGCACTATTTCCGAGCCATTTCCTGGTTGGATCGAAGGTCTACGGTAGTTTTATTATCGATTAGGAATCTATTTCTAACCGATCGATTTATATAACGTTTATCCTTTCTTATTTCAATTATTCACATTATTATTGATATTTAGTGTAGAACCGTAGACAGCGTGATTGTTGCATACGGAAAGGGCGTGCTCAAGTGTTTTCTTGTCGATGTAAACTCGGTCTGCGATATGGTAAATTGTTGAGCTTTACATGATCCTTTTTTTATTGAATCATAAGATCTAGCTAGCTCTAGATTTTAATTTTTTCATGTGATGCGAAATGGAAAAAACATGATATAGATACCAGTGGATATGGTGGCAAACGCAATGATCACGGCTGCAGCTATTCATGCTGGATGTTCAGGGGTTCACATGGTGTACCATGTTGGTTCATCGCACCAAAACCCGGTGACATTTGGAGATCTTCATGAAATTATGGTTCGTTACTTCACCGAAAACCCTTTGCGTAGTCGCAATGGCTCGCTCATAACCGTCTCAAAAGTGAGGCTCATATCAACTATGCGTCTGTTCAGCCTCTACATGACTCTACGTTTCAAACTACCTCTACAGGTATTGATATATAACCTGTTCAATAAATAGAGTAATTCCAAAAAATGGCACATTTTACAGTATTTCTTTTAAAAATATACAATATCGTATCGTTTTACTATTAATCTATATTACTATATATATAGTCATTCGAATTCTTTTTAAACTTTGCATATGGTCTAGTGTACTATCTAACATAATATCTCTAATTGTGTTTCTTTCAGGTTATAGTGTTTTGATCTTAAGTTAACTTTTTGAAAACAAGTTATTATTTTTTTTTGCTAAAACCAGCTATTAAATTTGATTGATATAATATATCCTTGGAGAAACGGAGGTAAATACGAAGACCTGAACCGCGAAATCAATTTGGTGATGAGATTGGTAGAGCTTTACGAGCCTTACGTACTCTTCAAGGGCATGTACGTACGCTTATGTCTTTCACTCTATTATACATTTAAATATTATACCTTACTAATAAATATTTCTCTCAGATTCGACGATAGAAATACTAAAAGCTTATGTGCCAATCAAAAGGAAGATGAGAGCAAATATTCAAAAAGAATCGATGATGTTTGATTTCGACCCAAAAGGCATTAACTGGGGAGATTATCTCACACGTATACATATTCCTGGCCTCGTCACACACGTGCTTAATAAATAAAACCACATACACATTTTACTGAATTCTTCATGTATTACCAATAAGGAGGACACATCATGATGAAAACGTACATATTTTATTTGAACGGCAAGCATCATTCTTTTAAAGTAATTGCCCCTTTTTATTTGTCCCCAGTATTAAAATACCTAAAACGGTTCAGAACTTAAGGCATCCCGAATTGTAACCTTGTATGATCCTCTTTTGCTCTAATAATAAAGTTTACCAACCAAACAACTTATATATGTAAGTCCCAAAACAAACAAAAAAATATATAATGTAGTTAGTAAATGAAATCCCTCTATTGAGGATTCAAAAAGGTGAAGCATTGCTACGGTCAACCAAGTTTGGTGCCAAACTATGGACATTATCATGAATGTGATTTTGGAATTTAGCGAATTGGATTTTGGAAAGATTTGTGGAGAAGTATGTCATTGTGATCGATGTCTTGTTGAGATAATAATATAATCATCTTTCAAGAAAGTAAGAGGAGTTCGAGTGCCTCTAACCCTCCTTCTACGCATAACGAGTTGACAAAAAAGAGTCTTCCGAAAGAAGATAGATCGACCACTGCAGTTACGTGTAGTTTAGGTCTTACATTATCATAACTACCGGAAATTGCATGTTGGCATGGCTTTTTATTTATTTTTTTACCCTGTTTTAGGCCTCTACTTCATAATATGTTACGTATCGCCGTCGTTTTTATTATTGTAGGACAAACTAAACGTATGAAAAAATTTCACTTCAAAATTGTCTACAAGTCTCCGATAAAATTGTTAGAGAACTTATATTTGTAATCACTCTTTTTTATATAATATTTACTTGTAGTCTCTCAGTGGAATTTTTAACTAAAACTAAAATGAAAAATAAAAATGAATTAGTGCGAGTTTCTCAAATAGTAGAGATTTGAGCACAAAAAGTTCGGTTAGGTATAAATTTTTCATAAATGAGACCAGTTAAGACCGTACGATCGAGAACCTCTCAGTGGCTTTCTCTGAGAAAAATGACAACCAAGCAAATAGAAATGAAGACTCCAAAAAACCGAAATTAAATTAAGTTTAGGTTTGGCTTGATTTAACAATGACAGTTAGTTCGAATTCTTCAGAAACTGAACCTAACATTTTTGAAAACCACGTTAATTTGTGTGTCAGTTTTAGTTGAAAAATAATTCAGATTCAAAGACTTGAATTTTAAGTTGTTTGAATAAGTACCCATATCAAACTCAAATATCTCAGTCTCGGAATAGTAGATTACACTATCTCTAGATGTTCTTTGAAATAACTTTTTTGTGTGTGTGCAAAGTTCTTTGAAATATCTATTTCATAAAACATCTACGAAGTCTTTTCACCTTATGTCTTCCTAGAATTGCGTTTGCGTCACGATTTTAGGTTGTGTTGATTGTGATCCCAAGTTTAGAGTGAGGGAATTGTCCGATTGGACTATTCGTAAAACTTCACATGTACAAAATCATTTGACTTATTTTTTGTTACAAATTTAGTTTAATAAAAAATGATGAAGAAAATGAAAGTGGAGCATATGTTGGTATGGTAGGATGCTACAAGCCATGTAACTTTTCCAAGTTGAATAACAGCCACGAAACACTGCCGTGTCAATTTGATAAATCAAACGGCCAATCTTTAGGAGAGCCACATGGGCTCTTTTCAAGCTTACATAACATTGCGAGTGAACAAAACTATATCGTTTATCGTTATCAATCAGATCCAAGAAAAAATAAATTTCTAATGTTGTCCTTACCTATTGACCCATATTGTTGACCCATATATCTAACATTTGTGGATCTACCTACATACATTAGAAAAATCAATAATTATGATTAAAATTTTAATGGAAAACAACAAAAACACTTTATTTATCAACAAAAACAAGTTTATCAAAAAGAAAACACATCTGCCGGCTTTAATTAATGACTATGTGTCTGTCTATTTTGTAACGTATCCTTAATATGTACGTCTTTGTATAACAGATTAGATGTATGAAAAATACTCATTTAATTAAGACTACGTTTAACAATTTTGGTTTAAAATTTTGTATGTTCTAAGCCTCAGGAAAAAAAAACAATGAACTATATGTTTTTTTCGTGCAACTGTGAACTATATATATATATATATGTTTTTATAAGGGGAACGAGTAATCTATATTAAGAAACCATTTCCTACAAGAAATAGTTTCTTATAAACTTAATGTTACACATGTAGAGTGTTTATATTACATTTACATTAAATATTTTTGTTTTGAAAAGAAATCTTACAATATTGATGATATTCAACATATTTTATTAAAAGTGATTTAATTTTTATATAAAGGAATAATCGTTTCTTTTACTTTTACATAATCATTTCTTTTCTTTTACAAAATATCTTAATATGTTTTATATTTCCATAACGTTAAAAGTACATAGGAAAAGAATTGGTTTTTCTTATTTCTCACTGTTAAATATTAACTAAAACTTTTAGTAAAACATGGGTTATTGGAGGGTATTATAGACTTCCTTAAGTCATAATTTTCTGCTATAAATACCCTTGCACTTCAAAGGATTTCTTTATCAAACACAATGGAATTAAATTGTGTTCAATTTCTTCAAAACAAGACGATTCTTGTCACTGGAGCTACCGGTTTCCTTGCCAAAGGTAGGTTCTTTAATGTTCGTAGATCCTCATCAGTTTAGGTCTTACTATTCTTCAAGATTCGTTAGGCTAACTAATGAATTCGCTTGTAGTTTTGGTTACAATTTCAAATCTTGATTAATTTTGATGTCTTATTCTTGGAAGAACATTAATATCTTAAGATAATATATATATACAAGATATTTAGTGAAAGTATCGTTCGTAAAAATAATGTGTATTTTAGTTTTTATATATATATATATATATATATAACTCTTTCAGCACGTAGGCTCTCTAAAATATAATTAAGAGTAGCTCACTATTAGTACCTAATCGGATTATAATTAATTATAACTAATATTTCTTAGTGTTTGTGGAGAAAATTTTGAGGGTGCAACCAAATGTGAAGAAGCTTTACCTTGTTGTGAGAGCATCCGACAATGAAGCCGCGACGAAACGCTTACGCGCTGAGGTTATATTTAACAAAGCTTAATTCTTTTTTTTTTTACATTATATCTGAAATTTTGAACTAGCTATGTTTGGGCAATGATCGGTGACTTGGGTTGGAGAAAATATTTCTGTATGGGGCCAAAGTGACAGTTTGGTTTGGTTTATGTTGAAACTATTGATTTTGAAATGAAACCTAAAACAAAACCTGGTTCGGTTTTATTTTGGCAAATCCTCATTTTTCAATAGTTTTGTACATTTTTGTTTAGTTTGGTACATTTCATTCAGTTGCGATACATTTGGCAAAGTTTGGTTTGGTTAAGACAATAAGAAACTAGAACATTTCGAATATACTGTAGCAGAAAAGTGGGTTAAGATGATTATATTTATTAATCTGATTCGTGACCTCAGGTCTTTGAGAAAGGTCTTTTTAAGGTGTTGAGAGAGAATCTAGGCGAAGAAAATTTGAATACATTGTTGTCCGAAAAAGTCGTCCCGGTCGCAGGTGATATTGCCACCGATAATTTGGGCGTGGAGGACCCCAATCTCAGAGAACGTATGCAAAAAGAAATCGATGTTGTTGTTAATGTCGCAGCTACAACAAACTTTGACGAAAGGTACTAACTACAACTCTACAAGACAATTATATGAGAAACTCGTATGTTTGTTTATTCTAATTTAACCTTTGTTCATATATTTTACGTATGAAAAAGATATGACGTTGGGCTTGGAATCAACACATTTGGAGCTCTCAATGTCCTCAAGTTTGCCAAAAAATGTGTTAAAGCACAATTGCTTCTCCATGTCTCTACCGGTGAGTTTTTTTTCCTATTTATTCCTCTAATTTTCTTAAAGACATATTTATATGATTTGGTTCTTGAAACTTACAGTCTATTTCTCTCTAGCTTATGTTTGCGGAGAAACGCCAGGTCTCCTGCGTGAAAAAACTTTCGTAATGGAAGAGATTCGAACCGAGAATGGTCTTCAATTGGATATAAACCTTGAAACGGAACTGATGAAGCAAAGATTGAAAGAACTCCATGAACAAGATTGCTCGGAAGAAGACATTGACCTCTCCATGAAAGAACTTGGCATGGAACGGTGAGTCTTGTTGATGATTGAAAAAACTACTTAGATTAATCTTAATATACAGATTTCAACGAAATATAATTTGGTATACGTTGATGATATATTAGGGCAAAGCTTCATGGATGGCCAAACACATATGTTTTCACCAAATCAATGGGGGAGATGCTTCTTGGTAACCATAAAGAAAATCTTCCTCTTGTCATCATCCGCCCCACGATGATCACTAGCACTTTTTCCGAACCATTTCCTGGTTGGATTGAAGGGCTAAGGTAGTTATTATCGATTAGTAATCTGAACTTAATTTAATTTTTAAAGTTAAAATCTGTTGTTAGCTGACAATAATATATAATTTTACATTACATGTTGTTAGACCATTAAAGAACTTTAGAAGTGATGAATAACTCAAGATTTCTAACCAATCTATTTAGTCCATATATAAGAATTTTTATAAATCATTACTAATTAATTTCAATTATTCACATGATTATTGATATATATTTGACTGTAGAACCGTAGACAGCGTGATTGTTGCATACGGAAAGGGAGTGCTCAAGTGTTTTCTTGTCGATGTAAACTCGGTCTGCGATATGGTAAATTCTCGAACTAGACATGAGCCTAATTATTTATCGACCCTAAAATTTATATTTCCCAAAACATAAGATCTAGCTAGCTCTAGTTTTTAAAATAATTATGTAATGTGATATGACAAAAACATGATATAGATACCAGTGGATATGGTGGCCAACGCAATGATGAAGGCTGCAGCTACACATGCTGGATGTTCAGGTGTCCACATGGTGTACCATGTCGGTTCATCGCACCAGAACCCAATTACATTTGGAGAGCTTCATGAGATTGTGGTTCGTTACTTCACCAAAAACCCTTTGCGTAGTCGCAATGGCTCGCTCATACCCGTCTCAAATGTGAGGCTTATATCAACCATGACTTTGTTCAGCCTCTACATGACCCTACGTTTCAAGCTTCCTCTACAGGTACTAATAGCCAATTTGTTTAAAAATATGCCAAATTATAGTTTGTTTTATTGTCAAACAACTATAACATGTGTACCATTCAAAAGCTATCCTAACTTTTAATATATCGTCTAATAGTGTGTTGAATCTGTTGATGTATTGTTAATATTTGTTTCACTCAGATATTAAAATTGATTGAAATAATATATCCTTGGAGAAACGGAGATAAATACGGAGACCTGAACCGCAAAATCAATTTGGTGATGAGACTAGTAGAGCTTTACGAGCCTTACGTACTCTTCAAGGGCATGTACGTAGTAACTTCACATTCATAGTTTTATGTCATGGCATTTCACTCTATTATAAATTTTATAACTTTACATAATACCTATTTTTCACAGATTCGACGATAGAAACACTAAGAGTTTATGTGCGAGTCAAAAGGAAGAGGAGAGCAAAGATTCAAAAGGATCGATGATGTTTGATTTCGACCCAAAAGGCATTAATTGGGTAGATTATCTCACAAACATACATATTCCTGGTCTAGTCACACACGTGCTCAAGCAATAAAACCACATACACATTTTATTGAATTCCACATGTATTAGTATTACCAATAAGACACCCCATGATAGAAGGGTATATTTTATTTGTATTCTTTTAAAATAAAACAAATGTTCTGTGTTTTCTAGTCGAATGTGCTATTTATTTGATAATGATGATCTCTCAATTCCAACACGTATGGTATTTTTTTAAGTATGTATTATTCTTTTGCAATCGTATTGTTGGTTCTTCTTAGTTTTTACTATGCAATGCTAGTGTTTAAACAAACAGCCTATTTAAGCAGTCGTTCAAATGTCACTTTAGCGTTCGAAGTTGGAAAATCAAGATATTGAAATTTTGTCTATGAGCTTGATTAAGTTAGATTTGGCATTATAACAAGGTGGAAGCTAAAGCCTAAAGTAGTTGTGCAACAAATCAATACTGAAATTTATTTATTCGCCAATCCAAATACTTGTTGAACTATTCCCGGTTCATAATTACTGAATGCTTTGTATACCGGTGGTCAATTTTGATTAAAAACCAAAACAAAAATTGAGGGTAAAACCGGAAACGTAGATTAACGAAGGAGAGAAGAAAACCCTAACTATATATAATAGAGCTCTTCCTCTTCCGCCATTGTCGCTTCTTCGAACACTCTAAAGCTTGTAGCTTCCTGCTCCTCAAAATCTTCTTGGTACACTTGCTTTCAATAGTCTCTAGATTTCATTCCTACATTTAATTCCATTTCTGCTAATTTTGATTTCTGTGTATCAAAACTAGATAAAAATGAAGGTTGTCGCTGCTTTCCTCCTCGCTGTTCTTGGCGGAAACGCTAATCCATCCGCTGATAATATCAAGGATATCATTGGAGCTGGTAATTTCATTTCTGTTTGTTCTCTATTTTTGTCAAAGTCTGAAAGATTAGTCTCGAATCTATTCTGCATTTGCTTGTTAATAGTTTAGCTTTGATTCCCTGGAGGTAAAGGTATAGTTTTTCTTCAAATGCTTATCAAAATTTAAGTTTTGTGATCTTGGAAATGTCAATTAGTAGAGGCATTTAGTTGGGTTTACCTAAAGTTCCCGTCTTGTTTCTGTATAGATGATTTAAGGATATGGTGTTGCTTATTCTGCATTTCCTTTATTGTTGGTGTTAAGAGTTTAGATTGATTACTGGAGTTTGAGGTTAAGATTTTATTCAGTGACCTTGAAAATGTCAATTGATGTTTAAGGTTTTTGGTGTTGTTGCAGTGGAGAAGAATTGATTGTGAAATCGATGGTGTTGTGTTTTGTTTTTGGTTTGTTGTGTAGTTGGTGCTGATGTTGATGCAGAGAGCATTGAGCTTCTTTTGAAAGAAGTGAGTGGTAAAGACATCACCGAGCTGATTGCTTCCGGCAGGGAGAAGTTGGCCTCTGTGCCATCTGGTGGCGGTGTGGCTGTTGCGGCTTCTTCTCCATCAAGCGGCGGTGGTGCTTCCTCTGCTCCTGCAGCTGCAGAGAAGAAAGAAGCCAAGAAGGAAGAGAAAGAAGAGTCCGATGATGTAAGCATTGTTTTCCTCTTCGTGTTTTTGTTATCATGTTGAGTTTGTTTTTGATTTTACTCGTCTATATCTGACTCTGCTGGTTACATCATTCAACTTTGATGCAGGACATGGGATTCAGTCTCTTCGAATAGGATTTTCTCAACCGCGGAAGATTTTTACTGGATCTTGTTTTTGCTCTCTTTGTGTTCTCTATTTTAGTTCGTTGTTATCAGAGGTTCTCAAGTCACATTGTTTACACTCCTTAGATTATGAAATGAGAAGCGTTTTTCTATCTTTCTGGTTTTTCATTATTTGTTCCTTGTGCAATGTTCTATCATCTTTGGAATGGTTTCATACTGCGTACACCTGTTTGACAAGTAAATGAATCTGTTAAGATCCTGTAATTTACACAACTCATGCAAGAGTTAAAAGTAACTAATATACAGAATTAGTTGTATAAAGGCTTCATCAAATAGCAATATTGAGACCCAAGTGAGTTTGAGATATTGTAGATTCAAGGCCATCTGTAAACCAAAACAAAAAGATGGGACTATGAAATCTTCACTTATTGGTATTCAATAAGACAACAAGTCCATGAAACTTGATAATAATATTACAAGAAAAGGAAGCTGAGTTTGAAATAGTGCTAGAAGCTGTTGAAGTATGATGCCACAAAGTTGTTTAGCAAAATTAAAAACAATGTTAAGAAGATGATGATGCCACTAACTCATCTACTCGGGCACAAACACATTCCGCAGTTTGATCCATCTCAAGATGCTTCCAAATTCAGATTCATCGCGAGGATTATATGTTTCGCAAGGCCAAATCCATATCACAGGGTTTGTTCAATATCTTTGAGACGAGAGCAAAGAAGCTCTAAGATTTAGGAACAGTGACATTAAGAATCTTAACATCTTGGTAAGGCCTGTCGTTCTTGTCCGTCTTCACTTTCTCTATACCCTGTTCATTTGATTGATATTATGGTTAGACACACTAATTTAAACAGAAAAAAAAAACGCAAAAAACTTCTTTTGTTTTTTTTCTATCATTTACCTGTACGACGTCCATTCCCTTGACAACTCTTCCAAAAACTGTATGCTTATTGTCTAGCCAAGGTGTAGCCACCGTTGTGATAAAGAACTGCGAACCATTTGTGTTTTGACCAGCGTTTGCCATCGACACTGTGAACGGCCTGTCATGCCGTAGACTGCAGGAAAGGAAGAAGAAGAAGAAGAAACGACAATATTACAGACTAGTTTACATTCAATTCGCCTTTTAAAGGATGGTTAAACTCAAACGTAGAGATGCACAGAACTAAATGGTTTTACCTTTTGTGAAACTCGTCCTCGAATTCTCTGCCCCAAATTGACTGTCCTCCAGTACCATCCCCAAGAGGATCTCCAGTCTGTACCATGAATCCTCGGATAACACGGTGGAAAAGGTGATTGTCGTAATATCCGTTTCTACAGTGTGTTGTGAAGTTCTCCACAGTTTTGGGACATTCTTCTGGGTAAAGCTTTATGTGCATGTCACCCATAGTAGTATGCATGATCTGGACAAGTTTTATTATCAAAAAAGAGTTAAGAGAGTTACGTGTTAAAGATCGAGTTCACAGACTATGTAAAGTAGTTGCAAACATGGTGAGTTATGAATAACATACCACGGTCTCTGGAAGAGAAGTTGTGGCTGAGTTTCCAATGTCTGACACAGACAGAAGTTCATCAGCAGCAGGCTTCTCGTTGAACACATCCCTTCCTTGGCTTACATCTTCAGGTTCTTCTGGCTCTCTCCGACTGCAGAAACCAATTTGTTCATAGTAAAATCCATAAGTAGTTCGGTTTAGTTTGGGGGTAAGAAGAAAACATTTCAGAGACGGGAGAATAAATCTCTAAGTTATCTAGAGAAAACATAAGAGGATGTCTTTCTAACTAAAGATGCGAAAACAGATTTCTTTTGTCACGCAACATAAACATGAGTCGTTTTTAGCACGGTGTGAGTCGAGTACCTGAACATATAGATCCTGTGTTTCTTGAAGGCGCAGCATATGATAGTTGGATCAGTTAGAGGCTCCTTGCTTTCGTTTACGTTTGCTGCGGCTGCTGGGATTTTTCTAACTTTCTTTCCTCCTTGATCACCTTGATATAATGCAACTCTCAGATACCTTTCACTACTCTCCACCTTCCCAAGGATCCTTGAAACTGTGTTGGTGTGTAAATTTATTATCTAGGCAACAAAAAAATAGACAAGAAAATTAGTCAGTTGCTAATTGTGATTCTATTAAGTAAGCATGGGACAGTTCTAATATGATCAGACTCCAGAAACCGATTCTTTTTTTATATAATCTGCTGGAAACACAGAAATTGAGGATTCTAGAAATGTAGATCACTCTCCCTTAAAAAAAATCAAAACTTTCCGAGAAATCTCAAGCTTTTTTCTCTCTACACCACTTTTAACATATGGTTATAAAAAGTAATAAAATTTTGGTTACTCAAGTAAACACTAGCCAGTAGTGAAAGGCTTGTCTCTTTATACTCGTTGATTGTATCATGTTCATGTGAGACGCGAAACTTATCGGGTCCAGACAGAAGTGCAAGTTTGTGGTAGTAAATATCAAACAGAAGAGAGGAATTCTTACTTTGATTCCAAGAAGAGTGGCATATATAAGGAAATTAGAGCTTTCATCGAAAACTGCATTGGGCTGCGGAGCGCTCTCGGTTTTTTCAAGTTCCTTCTCAACTGCCATTCTTCTACCAAAGTCAATTGCTTCAAGCCTGTACAGTGGAGTATCACTCTTCTGCAGCTCTTGGGCATTCTAATAATGGCGTTGTAATAGATGATTAATCAAGGATCATGTTAAATAAAAACATGATGTAAAGAAAGGAAAATTTAATATGTAACCTTACCTCAAGTGACTCATCGTATACCCGCCTCAGTTTACCAGTTCTAAACCAGAACACGCGAATCCTACGATCAGGAGATGTCACAGAAAACTGTTTACCATCTGGACTCACCTGAAAAGAAGTTGACTAGATTTAGAGACCATAACTTGCACTAAATTTTTCATAAACATTGTAGCGCAAAAGGATAATAGCCAAAACAAAGATACGAAACGCCACAAGTACCTCAATGGCAGAGATTGATGTTTTGCACTTCAAAATCTCAAAGAGATTTGTATCACTCTTCAGTTTAAAGTTTACCCTACAAACACCAAGCAAAGCAAAAGGTTAACCTGTGAGGCATAATTGGAAGCAGTCCATCAACCAAATTCAAACTCTGAGGATGGTCAAATCGACACACATTGAAAAAAGTTTGGCAACAAATGTGTTTCTACTACAGAATCTTCAAATATATTCTCATCAATATGAAATCTAACTACATTAACCAAGCAGAGTAAACGGGTATGCTCTTCCTCTTGAAAAATGGCCCAATATATTTATAAGGGATATCAGAAATCAAACAACGACACATAAATGGAAAGAAAAAACAGATATTGGATAAGAAATGAGACAAGGACATACTCATCCTCAGGAAACTGCAGCGTAGCTGGACTCCAGTACTCAATGATTCCTTTTGTGTCACCAGAGATCATTGTGTCAGAAACAGGAGTGTACTTCATGACCTTAATCGGACATGAATGTATCTACACATATTTTAACGACAGAAATTCAAGAACTGTTAAGCACTGGCGAAAATAAGGAGTCACGAAATGGCAACAAAAGAAAGAAGAATATTAAAAACAAACCTCTTTTGACGCAATGGGTTCGTTAGAACCAGAACGGGCATCATAGATGTGCACAAACGATGAGTTCCGGTCACTAATAGCAAGTTTAGCTTTGACATCTCCTTGTTTGTAGACCCACTCAACAGCACCAGGAATATATGGCAAACGGATCATGGCCATCATGTCGTAGTTGACAACATCATATATCTTCACCGCATGATCGTTCGAGATCGTACAGCAGAGCAAACCATCAATGCTAACCTGCATTGCTGAAATGAGTCATGGTTGATGACAGAACAAGATACCAACACAAAAAAACTGTGGAAACCAACATCAACTATCATCATGATTACACAAAGCTAATCATTCAAAAAAATTGAGCATATGCAACAAATCACTAGCGATACTCACCGCTAGACCTTCAATTGGACCGAGATGGGAACGGAAATGCTTAGCAAACTCAATACCAACACCCTTTTTCTTCCAGAATTTCAAGTGACCTAGAATATGAATACAAAAATACATGTTAAAACGAATTGACTGATACAAAAATTTCACTGTAATCTAATACTAACCGAGACAAAAGAGACTATAACACATCCTTTCATGCTTGGATAATACACAACTATAGTGAAATTGGAAATCGAATAAAAAATTGAAATGATGTGAAATTTTTTACCGTCCATGCTTCCACTTATAAAGAAATCAGCTGCTGAAACAGCAACATGTGTAACTACATCTCGATGCATGTAACTTTTCTCATACCTGAGGAAAGAAAAAGTGAAAAGATTTAACTACTTTTCAAGACCAATATCACAAGCTTACAAATCCCATGGATTCCAAAAAAAAAACCTCCAAAAGCAATAAGCTCAATTCGAAGGTATAATAAGGACCAACGTATTAAAAAATTAAACACATAAGTCTCTAATTCGAGATTCTCACAGCAATGTGAGCTAAGCTACAAGCTTATTCGGAATCGGTTACTGGAGAGCGAAACAATTTCTTCGAAAGTTTTCGCAGAAACTAAATCAAGACCATCTATAAAACCCTAAACCCAATAGGATGATGAAAAGTTCGAAGCACAAGACGTGTACTTACATATTAGCAGAAGGAAGCGAATCGAGATAAGCTTGCTCGAACTGAAGTGGACGCTTGCGTTTGCCACGTGGAGGAAGTACGACCATCGGCTCTTCCTCATCAACTTCAGTCGGAGCCACCGCCGCCGCAGCCACCGCTAATTCTTTAGCCGGAATCGAGTTTCCATTCAGCGATTCTTCCTCCATTGCTTTTCTACTCTCTTCCTCAAAGCTCAAAATCCCTCAGTGAAAACTTCGATTGAGAGAGCACGGTTGCTACAACTTCGAATTTCTGGAAAGAGACGGAGAGTGAAAGAAGAGAGAAGAGTAGATTCGTAAACAGAATATATCTATTGGGCCTTATTTAAGCCCAAAATGAAATTTATGAGCCTAAACCCTTTGGATATTTGAAGAATTTTGAGTTATGCATAAGTTCCAAATTCAACTCCGCTAAGAATTCTTGGTGTTTGGCATGTCCTGTTAGTTTTATTATTTTGGTATTATGGTTGATCTGATCCGGATTATTAGTTGTGTAAAACTTTAGTGATTTCGGCATATCGATTGTATTTGAGTCAGTTATTGAAAGTTTTCCCAATACTGGTGTTCGGTTTTTCGCCTCTATCCAGTGGCGGATCTAGGATTGAATATTAGGGGGTCAAAAATCAAGTAAAGTGTCATTGGGGAAATTTGAACCCATGTTAGGGGTTCAGTATGAAGCTTTTTACCAATCAATCTGTTGTATTTATGTGTAATATCCTTACAAATCAATGTTTTATCTAACTTTAGGGGTATCAAATGAACCAGTATTCTTATGTGTGGATCCGTCTTTGCTTCTATCGCGAGGCTTTGATGATATTGAGAATCTTTGCATGGTTGTATGAAAGTACTTGGGAGAAGGCATATTATCCAAAGCATGAAGATGATCTAGGCATGCGAAATTTGTGTTATGTCTCTAGGATTATAATACTGATTTTTAAAAAAAATACTTTCGAATTAGTTCTAACTTCTTAGTTAAAATAAAAAACAAGAGTGAAGTACTAATTAATATAGGTGGAAACTATTGGATCATTATTGGCATCAAGTTTTTGGTGAACCTCAAGGAATTAGAAAAATAGTTGAAAGTTTTCTACCGAACAAAAAAAGAAAAAAAAAAGTTGGGAGTTTTACTATGAAAATGTTTAAATTTGCAAAAGTATTTATTTTTGTTCTTCTGGTTCTCCGAAAACCACAGTTTGCAAGAAATATTTGTTTGCAAGAATTCGAGCGAATCCATGACGGTCGAATTGGTGTGGAATCAATGATTGGATAGTGAAGTTTTAGGATAAGCGAAAAGTACAACGACAATAAAGCCATGCACGTGAATTTACCTTGTATGTCATGAATGAGGCACGTGGGTCTTCATTCAATGACTTCATTTATCTGTCAAAATCATTTGGAAATAATTCAAAAATTGCTGGTCCGAATTCCGAAATCAAATAGCAGTATGTGTGTTCATGCATAATTGCATACGAGTGGAACTCATGTAGTTGTACCAAAATCTCAGTAAACAATAAATGACTGAAATGCATATTTAGGTGCTATTCCATTTAACTTTTTGAATTGCATTAGTTTTCTGGTTTCTGTTACCAAAAGCACATAACTTCTGGTATCAAAAGTTGTTTTGCGTTATCTTTTGTTTTTTTTTTTGTTAAAAAAAACTTTTGTATTATAGTATGAATTTGACGATGACTCAATCACAACGTGTGACCACAAATAAATGAATAATTATAGTACATTTATGGTCTCTTATTTTGTTTTATTATGTGTTAAAATTACGTAGATACACACATATCAAAACTCTTACTAAATGCAATTGTGAATTGTACTAAGTTTCTATCTCATGAAATGCAACTTACACTATTATTAAGCTGAGTTTGTTTAATAGGAATAACGATGGTATAATAAGAAATTAATTAATTACGTAGTACTAATTAATTAAGAGATATGATTAATAATATTCGACATGGGTTTCAGGACAAATGTCATCGGACAAAAGCTCTTTGCGAAAAGGCGGAGGAAGAAAAGGAGGACGAGTACACATGAGCAAAGCCCAATTCACTCCTTGGAAAAACGGGTGACGTTTCACGGCCGATGCACCCAGAGACGACCCCAAGCGTCGGGTAGGGTCCTTGGCTAGTAGCTGAGAGATCAGATCCTTAGCCGCGCTTGGGATCGTTGGCTCTTTCGGAAATTCGAGGGCTCGAGCCACGATATTGGCAAGGGTCAGCTCGTGGTCCATCCCTTTGAACGGTGTCGTTCCGTAGAAGAGTTCGAACATGAATATCCCTAACGTCCACCAGTCCACTGCACTCCCGTGTCCTTCTCCTGCCATCACAATTTAAAATTACATGAAAATGTTTATTACTTATTTCTTTTGTTTTCGAGCAAATAAAATTGTATGAAAGAATGTTATTTTATAATGTGGTAGATTGGAAGTATACCTGAAACAATCTCAGGAGCCAAGTACTCATGAGTCCCAACGAAAGACATGGACCGAACATCCACTGGCTCAGCGACAAGCTCAGGACCGTCGTTACGATGATCAGTTTTCTTCTTACGTCTACGGATTCTCGGGTGGAAGCAAGAGACAGCAGGGACAATACAGTTGGGTATCATGCAAGAAGAAGAAGTGTTCTGACGATGATGGTCCATGGCTTGGTTCTCATTCTGATCAGACGAACCGTGAGGAGGTTGGTTCCGGTTCAACACAATCT